CATTGTATATCATTTACAGCTTATTGTAGATCATCTCCTTATTGTGTATCATTTCCAGCTCTCTCTTGGTTGTTCCTTCCTCCCTGTTCCCGCTCCGGCTACATTTGGCCAGAGGTTTTCTCACCTCACGCTTGGACTCTGCAGGGTCCTCCCGGCTGATCTCATCCCCCTCGACCCTCCCCACACTTCGCTTTCAGGTCAGTCTCCCTATCAGCATCACAACTGGCTCATTCACGCTCAACCCCATTACTTGAATCCAGCTCCTCCGCCTGAATAAAGTTTGTAAAGCTTATCAAAATATGGCTCATCCTATTTTCCCCTGTGGTTTAAAGTCCTAGCCAAACGGGACCATGACCGTGTTTCTCCTAAACATGCTTTGTACCTTCCTACCCCCGTTTTTTTCTCGGCTGTTCCCCTAGCTAACATTTCTGCTACCACCCTCTGGTCTGAGATGCTCTCTGCTTATGAAAATCCTGCCCATCCTTCAAGATCCGGCTCAAATTTTATCTACTTTACAAGGTCTGCCCTGTTTGGAAAACACAGAGAAAAGTATATACGCGCATAACACACACACGTGCACACACACACTTTCTTCCCAGTTGCATGCTAGGCAGCTTGCCAGCCTTGGAAAGTACAAAGATGAATGGGTCCAAGCACCTGCGGGTGTGGCTTTCAACTCTGCTCAGAAGGGGCAGCTTTGTTGGAGGTAGGAACCAACCCAGTCAGCTCCTCTCTCCTGGGAAGAACTCATTCCCGAGACACAGGCTGCGCCCTGCCCCACACTGCTCACACCCTCCGTGAGGCAGGTGATACCTTGCCTCACAGAAGCCCTGGGACCCTGAGGGGCCATATCACCGTGGAGGTAACACCTCTGTTTCCTCGAAAAGGAGGAAGCCCCCTTCTCCAAGGTAATCCAGGAACTGACCAACGTGTGGTATCGTGAGACTATAAGCAAGCTATGACACAGAGCCCAGCACAGAGGCCACAGCGGGAGCAGACACAGCGGGCTTCAGTTGGGTCAAAGCCAACTGGTGGTGAATGGAAGGCCAGGCCCAGGAAAGTCACAGAACAGCCCCATCCAATCTTCTCACTGGACATATGGAGATCTGCGCCAGCCAGTGGCAGAACTTTCCTTATTCCACTGACTCCTAGTTCTTCCCGCAATACCCCCAGGGCACACGTCCCAACTTAGGCTTCGATATGTTCCCGTGGCTGTTTTTTGTCTCGTTTTGTTTTTTAATCAAACACCTTACCAGGAAGCTAATAAATCTTAAAATTCAGATCACCTGTCTTGCACCAGCTCTGTGCCTACCTTTACATTTGCAATTCTGGGAATTTTTTTCTTAATAATATTCTCTAAGTCATACAAAATGCAACCATTTCAAGCCCATAAAACGTGGGTCCACCCTGGCAGAGGGAATGTGTTATTTGGGAGGGGAAGGAATCCCGTGGAAACAAAGCTAGAAGAAAAAAAAAAAATAGGAAAAGGAGCATGGGCAGGTTTAGGAACATTCCCCTACAGTGAGCGGGTCTACTATATCCTTTCAGGGACTTATTCCAAAAGGCAAAGGGTGCCATGGGCTGCAACCTGGCAAGCCCCTATCCTTCCCCCAGCCCATCCCCACATTTGAGGGGTAACTTTCAAGAGCTGGGGGCATGCGAAAACAGCTGGGCTAACATCAGTAAGAAAAAGAAAATTAGGCTCAGGGAGCCCACTCCAGAGTAAAGTCCCGCCCCCCCTCCTGGGGAGATTCTACTTTTACACATAGAGAAGAATGCATCCTGGACGACCCCCATTCTGTAGCTTCAGGCCAGGCTGATGGAGAGAAAGTAAAGAGCATGCGAAGACCCCTGCCTGCTAGACCCCAGAGCCCAATAGAAGTCTAGACCACGTGGGGCACCGGTTTCTCTTTAGGAAAGAGTCCCACCTAGAGGAAATTCTGGAAGTTTGAAATGCATCTTTGTGACCACATGGGGGCCCCATTCAAAGGCTCCTTCATTCCGCTAGCCTGGGTTTGCCTCTTAAGGAGTTTTTCCAATTATTTATTTAATTTTTGTCTCCTTTTTGTTTAAAAATTCCGTTCTTATTACTAAAAAATAAAAACAGGAATTGAAAAAAAAAGGTTAGAAAATGTATAAAAAACGGCCCGTGGTCTCACTGTTAAAGAAAAAAGAAGCTACTCTGTGTTGCTCTGTATGCTTCCAAACTCGCGCATGTGTTTTTTCTTTTACACAAAACTGAGATCATTCTGGACAGACTTCTCCTCTTAAAATACCACGAACGTCTTCCCACACCAAGTTCTTCATCAAAATAATTATAAATATGGTATTGTGTTCATTCCACTTAGAAATATTTGTTATAAATAATAAACACATTACAGAAAGTTCTAAGTGGCTGTCTACTGGGATTTACCGAACTATTTTTCTATTGTTGGAAGAATTTATTCCATTTCAAACCAAGACAGACGTGAGTTACAGCTGTCCAAATAAATAAATACATGAAAAGGCCAAATTGCCTGGCAAAGACCTAAAGCAGCAAAGGCGACGTGGCAGATGCCCTGTGGGAGAAGGCACAGGTCTCCTGGGGCTGTGGCCGTGGTCACCCTGCCCGGCCCGGCCCGGCTGGTCCCTGGAGCCGGGAGATTCTCTTTAGTAAGCGAGTCCCTTGGGGTCCGTGGGGTCCAGAGCTCGAGGCGCGGCAGGCTGCAGGTCAGGCGCTGGGTCCAGGCGGTGCCTCAGCGCACGCCCGGCCGTAGGCCGGTGGGTCGGTGCGGGGTGGGGGTTGGGGAGGGCGGTCTGTAGGCCGGTGGATCGGGGGGTCAGGGGCCAGGGGGGGGGGCGGGGTGGGGGGGGGGGCGGGGGGTCGGGGGGTCCAGAAACCTGTGGGCCAAGCAGCATCGGTGGTGGTTCAGGGGGTCGGGAGGCCGGTGGGTCGGCTGGCCCGTGGGTCGGACAGCGCCGGTGGGTCGGTGGACCGGTGGATCCAAGTGGGTCGGTGGGTAGGGAGGCCGGTGGGTCTGTGGGTCAGTGAGTCAGGGTGTCGGAAGGGTCGGCGGGCCGGTGGACTGGTGGATCGAGAGGTCAGGGAGTCGGTGGGCGGGGTCGGAGGTCGGGAGGTCAGGAGGTCGGGCGGTCGGGGGTCTGGAGGCCGGTGGGTCCGGGGGCCTGTGGGTCCGGGGTCGGGCGGTCGGGGATTCGGGAGGCCGGTGGGTCGGGGGTCGGGGAGACCCAGGGATCAGCGGGCGGGTGGACCCGCGGGTGGGTGGGTCTGCTGGCCAAGGGGCGGGGCGGGGCGGGGCGGGGCGGGCGCCGCGCCTGCCGTTCGCCTCTCTGGGCTGCAGGTGGGGCTGTGCGGCCGCGCTGCCTCCAGGAAGCCTCACGGGCCTGCGCCGGCTCCCAGGATGCAGTGTGGACCGGCCGGGCGCTGACGGCGGCGGCGCGTCTGCGGGCGGAGCGGCGGGGGCCGGCCAGCGAGGAGCGCGGCGACGCGGGCGGGGAAGGCAGGGCAGGGCCGGGCGGGCGCCGCCTGCAGAGAGGCCGGGGGCCGACCTGCGTGGAGCCGCGCGCGGCGGCGGCGGCGGCGGCGGCGGCGGCGACTTCCTCCGGGCCGGGCCGGACAGTGCACGGCCATGGCCGAGGCGGCCGCGGCTCCGGTAAGGGCGGCCCGCGCGCACCGACGCGCGGACTCGGGGCCCGGGCCCAGCACACGGCGCCGCAGGCCCTGGGGAGGGGCTCCGTGGGCCGGGCCGGGCCGCCGGGCCTGGGCTCCGGCGAGCGGGGCGCGGGGTCCGCCGGGGCCTACGGCGCCCGTCGGCCGGGCCCCCCATTCGCGGCCGAGCCTGAGCAGAGCGGAACCGGTCGACCCCGCAGCGGAGGCCGCCCCACGCCGAGTTCCTGCAGCCCTCCGCGGCTTCCTGCCCCCGCCCCATCCGCTGGCCCCTTCATGTCCGCGCCCCCCACCCTGCGTCTCCTTTCTCTGCCCACCGCTCTGCTTCAGCGTTCCCTACCCCCCAGCTCCCCCCAGCGGCCTGGTGGCACCTGGGAGGTGTCCGAAGCGGCTTGGATTCCGCACACACCGAGTGCCCAGCTCGATCGAGGTCGGGGCGGAAGACAGCTGCTCCCTCTTGTAGAAGCAGGCAGGCACCATCGCTGTTAGGCATTATATTGTCCTCACAGCAAACCTGTGGGGTAGGTGCTCGTTCCGTCATACAAAAGAAAAACCCGAGGCCTGGAGAAGTTAACTTGCCTAGGATCTCACAGCCAGAAAGTGTGTGAAAAGATACAGTTGGCCTGTATTCAGGGACACATTGTGTGTTGGGGAAGCAGACAGGGACCCTGGTGATAACGATGCCAACAGAAAGAGGTGAGTGGTTCTTGCCTTGAGGCAGAAAGGTGCTCTGGGAGGGCAGAGGAAGGAGAGGGAGGGTCTGGCACCCCTTTCTGGCCTGGGCTTCTGTGATTTGAGCTGGGCTTTTGAGGAAGGCTAGGATTTCATCAGGCTGAGTGGACCAGGGGAGCTTTTCCGGTAGGGAGGTCAACTTGCGCTCAGAGAGAAGGCAGTGCCCAGCGGGTTCAAGGACCAGAATCCAGTCCCTGCTCCATGGAAGATGGTTTGGTAGGGAGGCAGTGCGAGAGAAGGCTGCAGGGAGAGTTGGAAGGGGTTTTAATGCCTGGACTTCACCCTATGGGTGGGGAGGCCTTGAAGGATTTGGAGTTCCCTTGCCATCGGCTCCTCTCAAGCATAGGGTTTCCACGTCCCTGGCAGGAGTCTGAGGACAGCCCCATATTATCCACCCACCATTTAGTAAGGAGCTGGGCCTGAGCACAAGCAGTCACCACCTCCCACTAAATAGTGCGAAGACCCATTGAAATGGTAAGCACACTGTGTGTGCCTTACTGTTTATAAAGGAGTTTATGCAGGTGTCCTTTTCCTGCAATGTAAAGATTGCATTCATATGGCAGTCAAGTGCACTCGGGGGCCGAATAGGATTTCAGTAGCTGGGGAGCCGGGTGACAAAGTGAATGGAGACTTCTGGAGCAAACTCTTGGAGGCTGGGGTCAGGTGGCAGGGACTGATCAGAAAGGACAAATGGGCAAGAGAAGGAATGGCGGCTGTCGTGGAGGGTGGCCCAGGGTGCCAGCCCAGCACAGTCCCTGCAGCCTCGGGGCAGAAGCACCCGCCTCCTGAGAGCAGGAGTCCCACCCACATCCAGTTGTGTCCCTCTAACAACTCTCTGCCCATCCAGCTCCTTCCCAGCGAAAGCCCTTCCTTCTTCAGGTCAGAGGTCATCTGGTGCGGCCTCCCTCCAAACAACCTCAGAAGCACTAGGGTGCTTGGCAGTTGTTTTTGGCCTCTGCGCACACACCTCTCACTATTATCCCCCCATGCTGTAGTTCTCGGTGCCTTTCTCCAAATGAGCCCACACTGCTCCCCACTAGTCACGTCTTCGTTTTGCAGATAGTCCCCAACGATTTGTTTGGGAATAGTTTCCAGAATGTTGTAAGGAAACGTGCGCCCTCAGGCACAGCCAGAAGAAGGCGCAGATGTCTGGACCTCCTCTCTGACCCAGGGGGGCCCACCTTCACATGTGGGTGGGTCGAGTGGTTCAGCCCCTACCCAAGGCAAAATGTGCCCTTTCCTCGGGGTCTCCAACTGCCAACTGTCAGGTCACTCAAGCTACGTGTGAACTTTCCAGCAACAGGGAAGTAAGTCACTGCTTGGGGGAAGCTTTATGACGGTTGTCGTACGCATAAAAGTCTAACCTTATGGCATGTGTTTTACCTTCCTCACCAATCTGTAAGGTGTGTCACTGATCCCGGAGTAGCTACAAAAATGTCAGAAAATAATTTTCCCCTTGGGAGGGGTGGGGACAGTGCGAGAAACAGACTCTCAGGGGGCCCAGTGGACCCGTGTTGATTTTGTCCCCTTGACACACCCCTGCCACGTGGGTTAAAAAGTCTTAACTCTTGGCTGGTGGAGATTTGCAGTAACGGTGATTTTTAGTTTAAGGAGGAGTAACTGGGGAGGGGACAGAATCAGAGGGCACTGTGGGGAGAGGGACTAGCTGTTTGATTTTTATGTTTATTAAAAAGAGAGAGATGCTTTAAAAAAAAAAAAAAGAAAGAAAAGGCAGTTGAGCAATGCTCATGTTTGTGCCGGTTCAGTGAACCAGCTGTTTTTTTTGCTAGGTCATCATCCGTAGACAGTTCCTGTGTGATTATGATGGGAGGTGCTGGCTGGGCTCTAGTAAATCTGCAGTTTACTATTTATCCACTGAAATGCCCCAGCAGTGCTAAGTCACTGTTTATTTAGCAGAATTGCACTGAGCACCTTCTATGGGGCACACACTCTGCTGCAAAAAGCTGAAATACTGCCTTCAGAGAGCCCGTACGGGCAGATGCGGGAGGTCCCCGGCCAGTGCGTGCCGAGCCCTGGAGGGAAGGCACCTGCCCGGACGTCGGAGGTGTCTGAGTTACTCAGAGGAGCTGATCCTAGGCTGAGATCGGGCGTGTGGCCCAGGGCGTCCCCGCTTTCATTCCCAGCTCCGCACCTCCCGGCCCAGCTCCCCGGCACCTAGAGGAGAGGGGCTCAAGGAAGCAGTGGATGGAATGACTGAAGGTGGACTTCTCTTTGTTTCTGAAAGATCTCCCCGTGGACGATGGCAGCCACAATTCAGGCCATGGAGAGGAAGATCGAATCGCAGGCTGCCCGCCTGCTTTCGCTAGAAGGGCGGACGGGGATGGCCGAGAAGAAGCTGGCCGACTGCGAGAAGACGGCCGTGGAGTTCGGGAACCAGCTGGAGGGCAAGTGGGCCGTGCTGGGGACCCTGCTGCAGGAGTACGGGCTGCTGCAGAGGCGGCTGGAGAACATGGAGAACCTGCTGAGGAACCGAAATTTCTGGATCCTGCGCCTGCCCCCGGGCAGCAAGGGGGAGGCCCCCAAGGTATCCCTCGGGCACCTGGGGTGGGACAGCCCGAGGGACTGTGCCTGTGAGTGTGTGGGTGAGCGCGCGCGACACTGTTCAGGTGCCCATGACCTTTGATGACGTGGCCGTGTATTTCTCTGAGCAGGAGTGGGGCAAGCTGGACGAGTGGCAGAAGGAGCTCTACAAGCACGTGATGCGGGGCAACTACGAGACGCTGGTGTCCCTGGGTAAGGCATAATACTCATTCTTCTGTTACATGTGACTTTGAGAGTCCTCAGAACTCTCTCTCCATGTGGGTGGTTTTCATCACAACAATATGTAAATCGCTAGAAACTCTGACCGTGCAAGGAGTTACCTCCTCCTCCTCCTGAAGATGAGCATCAAGTGACCGAGTCGAAAGCTCCAACAACCTGATGAAGTTCATGGGTGGCCAGACAGAGAAGGGTGGTGGCATTTCTCCTAACCAGGCACAGAGCACGGACGTCTCTGTCCTGCTGACACAGAGTCTAAAGCCTCAGGCGACTCTCAGGTCCAGGATGGAATCGACCCACATTCCTTTAGCCTTTTCTTACAGAGATAATGTGGCCTGTAAGATACCTGGCGACACTCCTCCGGGTTAGTGGAGAATAGGGGCAGACCATGTTTCCCATGGCCAGCGCTGTCTTTGTGCCTCAAGGCTCTGCTCCCTCAGACCCTGGGGCCGCGGTCACTCTCCACACATGGTAGCCCCAAGAGGCTGTTCCTGCCTGGGCTGCCTTCCTCTTGCGATGCTTTCTGTGTGACCCCAGAAGGGAACAGGGCCAGGCATGACGGTATAATTCAGTTTGAAGAAATGCGTTGCTTCTTAAGGGAGAGACTATCAGAGTGTCTTCACCTGGGCACGGACGTCTGGGGCCAGATGGTTGTTTGTTGTGGGGCTACTCTGTGCAGCGTAGGATGTTCAGCAGCATCCTGGCCTTGACCCACCCATGCCAGGAGCACCGCACCCCCAGCCCCCAGTCGTGACAATCAGAAATGTCTCCAGACTGCCACACATCCCCTAGGAGGCAAAATTGCCCATGGTTGGGAACCAGTGCTCTATACTAATCTAGAAGTTTCGTTTCTTGGCCACTCGTGGATTCCCAGGCTGCCTGTCCACAGCTCTGAATGGAACCACATGGCAAAAGCTAACCTTTCTGTCCTTCTCAGACTACGCCATCTCCAAGCCCGAGGTCCTCTCCCAGACTGAGCAGGGGAAGGAGCCATGCAGCTGGCGTCGCCCGGGCCCCAAGGTTCCAGATGTTCCTGTGGACCCGAGTCCAGGTGAGGGGCTGAGGGAAGGCCAGGGACACCAGGCAGTCAGGTGGAAACGGGAAAGTAGAGGGGCAGGGAGGGCATGACCTTCTTTCCAGGAAGAGCCAAGGAGAAACCTCAGACGTGAATATTTTAAATCGAAGCTTTTTAATAGTTATGACCTGTAGCCTGTTCCCCTAACACTCCGGGAATACTGGAGTGGAACGAGGCAGCAAACCTGGTCTTTTAGAAGAGAGGTGGAGCCAGCGCACACAGTTAGGGGGAGAGGGAGGAGAACACTCATAGGGAAGGTAGGAGTGCGTGGAAGACAAAATGTAATTCCTTCCCGGTTTTATGAAGAGCCAGCCTTGCCCCTATCCAGGAGCCAGTCCCATTGGCTGGCCACATGTTTCAGCACGATTAGAACGACAGATTTGTTTAAGGTGAATCTGGATATCTGAGATCACGGCCTCGGACTTTCCTCGAGCCAGGCAGCACCTCTGAAACTTAGGGGAGGGACAGGTGGATGCGTGAGAGAAGCCAGGTCACTGAAGTGAAGCCCTCGGCAGGTGCGGGGAGGCGACAGCCCATCCCTGACCGGGAGGACCCTCCCCGCCAGCGGGCTCGGGCCTGCTTTCCGCCCAGAACCGCCGTGTCTGTCCCACCTGCCTCGGGGTCCCCTGGCGTCCGAACACCTGTGTTACTAAAAAGCCTGGCGGTGTTTCGTTTGTGGTTAACGACGTGCGTCTTCCGTGGTCGCTGTTTGATCGCAAGCGGGGTTTCAGGCTGCGGGAGCGGCGCATGCGCAGAGCCGGCCCCACGGTCGTGCCCAGGGGAGCGCTCGCCAGCTTCGTCCCGCAGACGTCCTCTGAGACTTTGCTAGGCGCCAGGGACAGAGCTGCAAGTGGAGGACAGAAAGATGACTAAGCAGGGCGCTGCGGAGTCTGAATGGAGAAGGGGACTCGGACACGGAGCCCGGCCTCCTAGGCTGGGGCGGGGGGGGGGGGGGGGTGGCCGGGGCCCGCGGTGGGCGGTTCATTTTACTTAGATCGTCCTTGTGGAGGCTCTCCGGTTCCCACCCCGGCATCCGTGAGAGCGAAGAGGGGCCCAGAAATACGGTGGCTGCTAGCGAGACCCCACCATGCCCTCCCCTCCAACACAGACTCCCCTCTCTGCCTCCAGCCCGTCAGCAAGAACCCCGTTACCCCCTCCCCAGCTCAGCGAGAGAAGCCGGGCCCCCAGCTCGCTCCTCACCCTCTCTGGGCTTGGGCATCCCCTTGGCAAACGTCCTCTCCACTTCTCTTCAGCTCCTAAATTCTGCCGCCATGCCTCGGGGAACTCGGCCCCCAGCAAGACCTCCAGTCCCCCGGCTCCTCCCTGAGCATCCCCGCCTGTTCTTGTCCAGATGAGTCCTGGTCCTTCCAGGGGCCCTGCCTCCGCCGCAGCCCACCCCTTCCCCCCATCCCCCCTAGCCCAGGCATGGAAGGCAGCCGTGTCGCCGCGTGCCTGCTCCATAGGGCCTCTGTGCTAGTCTCCCCTCCTCCCTAGAAACCCCCGCCTTTCACTCGGATGCCTCCCCTCTTCCTACCGCCTCCTGCAGACCTCGTCTCTGCTCCTTCCATTGTGGCTGGCGAGGGCAGCAAGCACAGACGGCACTCTGAGCACCCCAGCCTCCACTCCCTCTCCACCACCCACTCTGAGGTCATTCCCTGTTGCCGACAGTGATGCATCCCTCCCATCATCTTATTTTGAGCTCGGCCCCTCCTGTCCTTGCAGATCTCTCTTCCCAGTGCCCCGACCCCAGCATCCAGCCCTTTCACTGCCCAGCTGGTCCTGGGTGCCCTCTTTGCCCAGCCAGGACTCTGGTCCAGGGTCACCCTCGCCCCCTCTCCCCCGTTAGTCATTGTGCTCACCCGGCAGAAACATAATCCTGGTTAAATCTGTCTGCCTGTCGTGCACCTGCTCCCATGCAGCTGCACGTGGCTGGAGAGAGAGAGAGAGACACACACACACACACACGCACACACGCCCACCCGCCCGCCCCGCCACAGCCCTCTATTTCTCACCTACAGTCCCAGGAGTGTCTCCTTGGTCCAGTTGCCCAGAGGTTGGCAAACTGTGGCCTGTAGGCCAAATTGCGCACCATCTGTTTTTTGGCCCACAAGTTTAGAATGGTTTTCATGTTGAACAAATACTGTTTAACTGAAAAAAGAAACAGAACTCACTGCCCTTCCACCCCACCGGCCTGTCTGTTCCACCCATGCCCCGTTCTCCGTGTTGGCTGCAGCGGTCACCCCTCCCACTGAAGGCCTGCTCCACTGGGCACTAGATCCAATCCAGGCCACCTTGGCGAGGACTCACACACCCCCATCCTTCCCATCAGCATCTGCCCCTGCCATCATTTGCCCGGTTTGGACACCGACCACTTGTGACCCCACACCCCTGCAGCAGCCCCCCCATTTCTGCCCTCGTCGCGTCCCGCTCCCCAGGAGCGCCCTCCTGCAGTGCCTGCTTTCTCCCATTCCTCTTCCACTCTGGAGGCCCTTCCATCAACACTCCTGTCAAGGCCACAGGGGCCGCCATAGCGTTAAAGGTCTGGTCTTACCATTGGTGACATTTGCCACCGTTGATCACTCTCTTCCCAGATTCGCTGCTTTGACAGGATGCCTCCCCCTCCTGGTTTCCTCCTGCCTTACTTAACACCTTCCCTTTGCTATTTCCCCATGCTCTTTCTGGCCTCTAAGTGTCGGGGTGCCCTTCCTCCTCTCTATGTGGCGGTCTCCACCATCCCGGCAGTGGCTGGGAGGGCTCCGTGTGCCACCTGGGTGCCGACAGTTCCCACGGTGTGCCTCCTGCCTGGCTCCTCCCTGAATTCACACCCGGCTGCCTGGTCTGTCTCCACTCGGGTGGGATAGACGTCTCATGCCAAGCACGCACCCAGCGGAGCGCCTCCTCCCCTCGTCCCTCCACCCCACGTCTCCCCTGCTGCAGTGGCCAGCTACCCACCCTCCAGTTGCAGGCGGAGACCCAGGGCTCGGCCTCAGCCCTTTCTCACACCCACAGCCATCGGGGATCCTAGTAGCTAGCACTCCCTTCAGACTCGTCCAGAATGCTGTCACACCCCATCTCCTCTACCCTGCCACCCAAGCCCATCGTCTCCTGTGGTCACCTCCCGACCAGCCTCCCTGCTCCTGCGATGATCCCCCAGAGTAGGCCCTACGCCCTTTCCTTCAAATCCCCTTACGGGCTTCCCACTGCCTCGGAGACTCTGGCTCACGTATCTGTCTGTGTCTCACTCCCTCTGTTCCCACCATACCATCCTCCCTGCTGCTTCCCCCAACACTCCAGGCCGCCCCAGCCTCAAGCCTTTGCACTTGGCAGCACCCTCTGCCAGTGCCCTTCAGGTCCTCCCCAGGCTCCACCCATTACCTCCTTCAGGGCTCTGTTTATTTAACATTTAAATCACCACCTTATTTAAAATTACAGCCCCTGTCCCCACCCAGAATTTCCAGTCTCCTTTCCCTGCTTTGGTTTGTTCTACAGCAGGGAGCATCATCTATTATGTGTATTTCGAGATTGTTGTATATATCTCACATTTACAGAATCGATAGAGATCTAAATATTACATGTATTTCAGAGAGGGAGCTGATAGATTTCACGTTTGTAGATTAATATATGGCCGGCCGGGCTCTCCCCATTAGGATGTAAATTTCAAGAGGACAAGCACTTTTATTTCTTTTGTTCATATGATCATTCCAGGCACCTTGAACTGCCTAGCACAGAGTAGAAATTCAACAATTACTTGTTGAACGTATGTAGCGTATATGTAATTTAAAATATTTTTGTGTTATGTGTGTTAAATTCCTGGTCAGATTTCCTGGTCTCATCCCTCCCCAGGGTAACCAGTTGTCCTGAAGTGGATGTTTACCCTTTCCATCCGCATTTGGAAACTGTCATTTAAAGCTGTTATGTACATATGTAGCCATAAGCAACATATAATACAGTTTTGTGTGTTTTGAGAAATGGTATAAATGTCATTATATTTACACATCAATATCATGTACTTCAGATTTATCTCTGTTGATGCAGATAGATCAAGTTCATTCATTTTAACAGATGCTTAATATCCCAAAAGCAACTCCATTCCAGCTTGTTCTCCACTGGTCTGTTGATTTGCACTTCAGCTGTGTCTGATTTTTCACTCTCACGAGTGGTGCCGCAGTGGGCAGCCTGACCCTTGTCTGTCTGTGTCCTGCGCTGCGGCCTCTCCGGGGAGCAGACCAGGGGGGACCCCCTGCATCGCTGGGCATGCTTGTCTGCACCTCCTCCATTGCCATGGTTACGCAGCTGGTCCTGCTCCCATCAGCAGCCAGGAGTGCCTGTTGTCTCACATCCTTGCCCTCCTTCAGCATTAGCTCCTTGCCAGTCTGATGGAGGTTGAGATGGCATCGTGTTTTAATTTGCGTTTCCCCGACTCTTAGTGAAGCGGAGCATCCTTTTCGTGTTTATTTGGTTTCTTCAGTGAATTGTCTTTTCCTGTTTTTCTACTGTTGCTTTTCACTCTCGTACTGATGCAGACTTCTGTCTATAGGTTCCGGATCCAAACACTTCATCTGTTATTTGCATCACACATGTCTTCTCCCAGCCTGTGGCCGGTCTCTCAACTTTGTCTTTTGCTTGTACAGAAGTCTTCATTTTGGGTACAGTCAAACCTACCAGTGTTTTCCTTTATGATCTGCTTTTTTCTATCTTAGGATAGCCTTCCCTACCTCACTGCAGGTCAGAAAGACATTCTTCTCCATCTTCTTATAAAACTTTTAAAGTTTTGCTTTGCACATTTAAGTCTTTAATTTATCGAGAATTAATATTTGTGTAGGTTACGAGGGAGAATTTAAATTTCCCACAAGGACATCTGATTTCCCAACAAAGTCTGCTGAATATTCTGGCTCTTCTCCAATGATTTATAATGCCAGTTTGGTCATGAACCAGGTTCCCCTGCATACACTTGGTTTCTGAGCTCTTTATTTTTT